AATTATAAGATGGTATGTTAATAATAGAAAAAAATAACTATTTATATTTTATCAAGGTTTTTTATTTTATTTATTTATTTTCTGTATTTTTCATGATTGTTACAATTAGGGCTTGCTAAGAAAATATTTTCTTCTGTATGCAAAGCACCTTTGTAAAAGTTTTAAACCATGGACTTTTGAAGCAGGCTTCTAAAGACCTATTAAGATAGCCTTAAAACTAAGGTAGATATTTATTGCTGTTTGATTTTAATATTAATTTGATCTATTTTTATATTTATACATACAAATTAAATTTCTAAAAATAAAAATAAAAATTTTATTTATGATATTATTTAAAAAAAACATCCATAAATTATTTAAAATAAAAACTAACAAACTAACTAACTAAATAGTTTTAATAACATGTACAAATTATTTTTGTAGTTAAATCTATTTAAATTTTCTTCTTCAAGTTGTCTATTGTCTAAATATTTCTTATTTTAAGATGCTATTGATCTACTATTTATAAGCATCAAATCTAAGAATTATATTACAGTGTTTCAAGAATTAATCATGATAATATTATTGAAAAAATAAAAATAAAAAGCTCCCAATCAAGTACTATGCACTATATATAATCATGCTTATAAATATGTATTATTAAGAAGAAGAAAAATATATATATATATATATATATTTTTAGTAGAATTATCTATTGAGCGAAGTAAGTCAAATAGTATTAAATTTTATTAATCTACTTTGTACTTCATCTAAGTGTGTTATGTAGATTTTATAATACACAAAAATTTATACTTTAAGGTAATAATAGCTTCTAAAATGAAGAAATAAAACCTATTCTTTAAGCCTTTTACTAAACTTAAGCTCATTAAAAGAAGACATGTCAAACAAAAAAATTGAAATCATAAAAAATTCTTCTCCAAAACATGTGATCAAATATTCTTTAAGTAAATGCGGATTATAGCAATGCCCATTAAATTGAGAAAAAAAATTACCATCACTCAAAGTTTATAAATAGGAATTACTACCATCCACCACTATACAACAATTTTGACCCCAATTGTGAGCTAGATTTGCTTTAAAAATAGCAGTTACTATCATCCATCATTACACACCATTATTGACCTCAACTATGAGCTAGAATTTCTCCAACTAAGACCAATGCTCCCAAATGTATTTATATGTATCTTTTCTATTCATAAGAGCTCAACTATTTCAATTCCCACAATAATTTCAGTTTCCTGTTCTATGTAAGCTACTTTGGAAAGAGCTTTGTGAACTAGTACACGCACGGGATTGAGGGTTTAACTAAACCACCAAAACATACTTCTTCATCTTTTAGGGTTAGGGCTGGAAGTGATGTGATTCATCAACTGTAGCACTGCTGTGATATGCGCAAATTTTTAGGAGGTTGGAGTGATAAGCTCAGTTTTGAAGTGGAACATTGCCTGCAAACCTGCATTACAGGCATTGATTAACTGGCTAATCAAATGTATATCTCTGATGCCACATTAAAGCAGAGCAATTCTGAGAGGGAAAGTCAGTTTTTTTAGTATACACTCTTGATGTAATATATGATTTGGATTTCCTATTTTTCAATATTATGTGAGCTTTGCAGTCTACAATGCATTCGAAATACTACTTGTATCGTAAGCCGCTGTGTAACTACTTTGTGCACAATAACGTCTCTTTATTCCAGGTAATGGTGGTACATTTGATGAGTTTTTTCACACAGGTCCACCTTCCTGATCGATTTGGTCTTAGCCAATGAGGTATTCATGTTTTCTCCCCCATCACTACAGAGGATTATTCTAGTTCCTTACCCAATTTTATTTCTCAACCTCAAGGTCTTCCAGATTTCAAGTCCACTCTCGTTGCAAAACTTCGACATGAACCTTGATATTTAGGTTCACACTGTTGGAGCTACAAGCATCGCTCATCGATACTCGACTCTTTCATGACTTACTGTTCGCGGTGACTTGTTGCTTTTCCTTGAAACACCACTTGCTTGAGTTAATTCTCATCGTTTTTCTTCATTTTGTGTTGACGATTTTCATGCAATCTAAGTGCAGACCGTGGGGATGCTACCTTTACACCCGGTGGTCCACTGCGCAGCATTCCAAGGCCAGCATTTCATATTTCGCATTCTCCTGCGTCCATGAGGATCACTCCTACAGGGTTAGTTGAATCTGGAATCTTATCTCTTCAGTCCAACTTCACCTGAAGATCCAGCAAGTCAGGTGAAGGTAGGTGGATTGCGCATGAGAGGATTGGGATTGACCTGGCGCGGGTTTAATTGGTTCTACAGATTCTTAGGGGTGTACTACACATGAAGCCGAGCTCAGAAGGTGAGGCGGAAAAGAGTAATCGCAATAAAGCACTGATTGAGCATGACTTCCAAAGCTGTGGGGGAACTGCAAACTGTCTTTTCACCATTCTCGACAACATTGTGTTCGGATTGTGAGACTTGACGGACAAGCTCCTGTTCCCCGTGTTTCGATTCCTGGACTGGCAACTGGATAGAAATCCTGTGCTGTGTCATTGCGCCCACCCAAGCGCACCCAAGCTTCACGTCGAGGCGTGGTCCAACGCGCAGGTATTTTGGACTGGCCTTAGCCACACACTCTACGAGAAGGAAAAATGGTGGAGTCGCAGAGGAAAGAATTCCCAAGGAAGTGAAGTTAGAGTTGCGGCGGAGAAGGCTAGCATTGTGCGTATTTTGCTGGGCTTTGTCAGGAGATGGACGATGATTTGGCATAGTGTGATGCATTTTGATATGGATCATAACCCTGGAATAATCATTCTCTAAAATCTGTTGTTGAAAATACGAAATACTTAAATTCCTCTTGGTAGCGCAATCCATGGGCTATATTTTATTGCGTTGACATAAGCCGGTCAGGACCATTCTGCTGTAAATTCCATGGCAATTCTCGCGCCGATAAGATGCTTCTGCTAACATCAATCTCCCAATGTTTTTTAGTGTCTGGGCTCGGCTAAGTCAGAACTCCCTGCTTCTGACGGCTGTGTGTTCGTTGTGAACGGGCTGTGAGAAAGTGTCGGGAAATTTGACTTCAACTCATGATTTTTGTACTGGTTGGACTTCTAGTAGAGACTCGTAAATGGCCGACTTGTTAAATCAACTATCCATGATGCAGCTTTACTTCCCAACCAGACCTGGCGTGACACCTCTATCGTGCGTCACAAATCCAAACGTGGCCCTTTTTAGCATTCGTTCACTCACTAATGTCTTGGTGCGAGTATCTACGGAGGGGTGGTGTGCCACGTGTTTTGTAAGAATCATACATTCTGGATCCCTCTCATGAACTTCGTCTGCAAGGTTACAGGCAGCATTTGAATTCATACCCAGAATGTGCTGTTGATAATGGAGTCATAGTCGGAAAGCCTCCACTATTTCCCAATGAAAAAAGTCGCACAAACAGCAAGGTTTCTCCTTCCTCTCACTATACACTTTTTACTAGAGTCAAAAGTGGGTTATCAAGGAGGTGCCTTTGGATCTCCTATCACCGTGTATTTGGTTGTGTGCAGGGTGCCCCCTTTCCTTCATCCACGACTACATGCAGCACAGTCATGGAACGGTCTTCAAGATGTTCCACAACACCATCTAAGTTTACTGATGGATGGGGTTGTATGTAGAATCACAAGCTTACTTTACTTATTCTGATTATCGTCATAACTTGTAAATACTGGCATGATTTTGTTTAGGGGAAATAATGTACTAGGTTTAATTCCCAGGTGGATTAATCGGCAAGTGACAGTCAGTGTCGTTACTTCTTCAGGAACTGCGAATGCGCGCTGAGGAACCACTTCTTTTAGTTCGTGTTGAATAGTCCACGCATCTTATTGGAGGATTGGGCAAAGCTGCTGCAGGTAATCGTTACTTGAGTTAGCGTACTTGTGTCTTACATGCTTAATCAACTTGATTACCCACGTACGATTGGATCCTCCTACATCAGGTGATAAACAAGAGCGGATCATATTGCAGTCAATATCTGGGTTGTAACACAAGCTCTTGACATTCCTAAATTGTAATTCACACACTGTTCGCTTTCAAGGTTATCAAACCATTTGGCTCTAGTGGGACCAGGGCAATGAATTGATTCAAATACTCATTACAATGACTTTCCCAAGTTGCGTAGTGCCTCTGTCATCACAAATTAATCACAAGGAAGCTGAGGGAGCAATCATCAATGACAACCAAGTTGCACCTGCGTAGAATGGCAGTTCACCACAACTTATAACACATTTCGAATATAGATAGTTGTTTTGAGATTAAGACATGGGCATTAAAAGCTATGCACACAGCAGGAGCAGACTGGGAAGACCAGCGAGCTTGTGATGGAGATCGTCCATCACAAGCATCAGCCTCATTGTCCTGGAACTAAACAACATGTGAACAAAGTCAGAAGGGGTTGTTACACAAGATTAGTGGCTCTCAATTCGAGAGAATGAAACCATCTTTATATCTTAGATTACTTATTAAGCTATGGTGAGATGAAAAACATGTTCATAGGATTCAGGAGGTACTCAAAAATCAGCTACACTAAATTCGATATAGTATAGACCAAGCGATCTGCAGAGAATTAGTTTATGCAAGAGTATTGGCCGCAATGTTGGCTTGTCCGCCAAGGTCAATAATAATTTAGAGAGTAAAATTCGTACCAATTTCGAATGCCTTTTTCTCCTTTTCGCAGCAACGGTGACCAATACTGTAGCCTTAGAAAGTACGACTGAGCAATTGATTCAAAACACTGTAACCGAAAAGCTTCCAGAGAACTCTCAAAAAAGGCAATTTTTTTATTATTAGCAGGATTTAAAGTGAAGAAAATTCTGCAAATATTGAATGTTAATTCAATGGAGCAATCAATTAAGCGTATTAATGCGCGTGGCACATATTCGCATGATGAAGAAAGGAAATGAATGAATATATAAATGTGTCAGTATCGACCCAGTTTGAGGATGTCATCTTGCCGATTGTGTTTGAATATCTGGCACCAATTCGGAAAGTTTTCATAACTTCTAGAACCAAGAGCGTGCATTTCCAAAGGGTCTCCCAAGAGTTCTATTTGCTGTTGATCATGTAATCTATATCGGTTTTGTAGATGGTTGATGTGAGTTTGCAGTGATCAGAATGTCTAAATCTGCGCATGAAGTCCTATGTCATTGTCATATGTTTTATAACCCCACTTTTGGTGTGTTCATATTACAGTAGAATTTGCTCTTACGGCAGTGATTTCTGTTAATTTCTTAACAGCCCATCAGGTTTTGGGGCGATGTTGGTGTTAAAGAGAACCTGCACTCTAGAAAATTTAGGTCGTTTCCTACAAACTCTTGCCCTTCTCAGTTTCATTGCCGTAGCGCAAGGACTAAATGCAACCGAACTTCTAGAGCAAAAGGATCAAGAACTGAAAGAAGTTGCCTCACTTGTTCGGAGAAACGCCGGTTTATGTGGTAACACTTTAACCTTACTTTCTCCCTTACCTTCTTCTCACAAAATCCGGTGAACGATACACTCGAACGCATATCAAACGCAGTAAGTCCTCATATTTTTGAAGCCGTATTTAAGGGACTTCGGGTTCAGTTGGTCAAAATGAATATTTCATGGCAGGAAGTCAACTCAAGTTTTAGACCACCTTTTCGATTCTCTTTTGAATCAATCATTGAGTGATCTCAGAGGCAACTATTGAATCAAATTCATTCTTGGATGAGCAGATTTGATTACAGCCTGTCCGCAGAATTGTTCCCGCTTATCTTGTTTCCGCTACGCCACAAGGGAAGCAGAGTTGATGTGCCAAAAAATCTCAAAACCAAATTCCAACTGTGCGTCGAACTTGACCTGCCTATGGAAGAACTTTGACTACAAAAGGAGTATGGTGAGGTGCTTGTGTTCGACTGATCTCTCACTGTCTTTTGGGCTTAACGGATTCGCCCACAATAACTGTCCATACAGTGAAATTTACAATGCACTTGGTTGGCTGTAGGCATAAGATTATAATTGACTGAAGCCTATTCTTGCAACAATGAAACGACATTGATTGGAGTGTGGTGTTCATGCTGGTTGTTAAAGATCAAACTACAGCACGATCAATCTATATGCAGAGGAATTTGGACGAGAAGTTCAAATCCATGTCGAATCACACACATTTCTTCCGAGTGTTTTTTGGATCAGTGGAAGGCACACTGAAGATATTCCCAGGAATGGTACTGATCCTATGCAAACTCAATCAACACAAGTTGATCCATCAATGAATCGGCTTGATTAGATGCTTGAAGCCTGCCTAGCATCAAGGAATATGGCAAACATGTTTTCTGGTCAGCTCTTGATAGGATGAAATTGATCTTAACAGAAGGACATCATGTGTGGTGGTGAAATTATGTTCAGTAGACCATGAATGTGGGCCAAAAAGGTTTAATGGTTGTTGATTGCTTTCATTTTGTAGGATGAAGAATGTTCCAAAGCAGCACCTTATGATCCCCGAATACGACACTGGTAATTGGTGAATAATTCATTATGTGAATTGGGGTGCATGTGGTCGAAGTGTTTGGAGTTTGAAGTTGTCTTGCCAATCTCCTGACTGAGGGATGTCAAATTCCTGGCAGGTATCTTCAATCAACGTATGTTCGCAAGGGGGTGGTTGTACTGGTAGACTCTGGACATTCCATGCATAAGGAGTTAAACGCTGGTAAAGAGGGAGAGACTTACTCGAGCAAAGTAAAACAAACTCTACTCAAGTTCTTGGATACTATGTGGGTGAGAGATTACATTAAGATCTTGTTTTTCAACGGAGACAATCCCAACGTCCGCCCACTGTTGAACGATTCGTTTGTAAGTTTCCTTTCGAACTGGTCAAGGTGGGTGCATACACATGTGTTTTTATATATTTCTTCCAACATATCCTACAAATGAAATAACATATCTGCATTGGGCAGGTGCAAGTGGATTTCAGTGATAGTGATGGAAAACCACCGCTGAATAGATTGAAGAATAGCATATCTGGGAAAGAATTTGATGCTCATAGAGGACGCTCCGATCCTAAGGTCGCAGACGCTATCAAGGCCATCAATCATGCGATAAAACTATTAACTGATAAAGCAACTATTCCAACAGAATATCTCAAGGTCCGCTGGTCACTGATCCCTTGTTTCCTTTGTCATTAACCATTCTAATAATGGGCCCACGTCTGCATTGCTCGAAGATAAGACTTCTTTTATGGGTTTACTGGTACAATTTTTTCTTCACATACCACACAACGAACCCATTCATACATTCTCAGTGAACAGCATCGATTAAATCGATCATCTTTGCCAGCAGGTGACAATTCTTCTAGACGGTGGTGGCAGAATAACAAGCTTACCAGAGACTGAGATTCAGAACTCCGACTTTTCTCTAGCAGTTCTTGGGCCCAGCAATGAGCTCCTGGGAGTTGTGGCCCTTCACATCTTCAACAACAAGGTGGAGGAACAATTTGGAATAGAAGAAGTTCCGTTCGTTGATGCTGCTAACAGTAAGAAAAGATCACATACACAAGAGTTCGACGACAACGAAGTAGCCACAAAAGTTCGTTTCAACCACGTAAGTTAATTTATATATGCAAAACCATCATCAAAATACCCATGCAGGAAGGTTTCGCGAGGTTGGCTCCATTCTATCGCGTAAATTAATGATTATCTTGCACTCTACCCAGTGGTGGCTAGATGTTCTAAATCGTGTAATTACTTTGGACTGGGTATGCCTATAGACGGGTCCATGCGAATCCTTCAAGGACGAGAAAATAGAAGGCGAGGGAGTGTGCAAAGCAACGCTGATGAACGAGGATCCTTCAGTGTTCAGAAAGCTAAGCTGTTGCGAAAATTGCACCTTCAAGGTCAAGGTGATAGATTGGCCCGCGAACAAGATAGCAGGAGTTACTGTTGCCGGTGTAGCAGGGGCTGTGGGACTTGTACTACTCGTTTCAGGTTGTTGGTACTTCATTCATGTTCAAAACTTCTGGATGATTTACTTGTTCAAGATGAACTCGTCAAATGAGTTTCCAAGCAATGAGGAGAATCGATCTCTCGCCCAAACTGCATCCCATGTGGATCCACAGAGGGTGTTCCAGAAGGAAAGCTGAACCGGCAGTTCAGCATTCATATTCTTCGCATTTAGCACCTTAGATAGATACATGTCATCATTCAACTGTCAACAAACTTTCAGATGTTAGCGATAATTCTCTATTGAGGCTTAAGAAAAGGAACTGGGTACAACTAGAACGTAGTAAAATCATCTTCTCCTTGAATATTCTCACCAGAGTGCTAAGGACAACGCAAAATTGCAAGAAATGAAAAAAAATTATCGAATTCATTAAAAAAGAGCACCCAAAATAGGAACCTGCAAGGACGAGAGCTAGAGAAGAAGAAGAAAAGAAAGTAAAAAGAAAAGAAACGGGGTATTGGTATTCAAAATACAATGTGAAAGCAACTTCACATTTTCTAACTCACAATGTTGCCACAAGATAAAAGTGACAGCGTGGCAACAGGGACAGAGCTTCTCGAAATAAGGATCTGAACAAAACATAATACGGAAATTCTGAAATAAGGAAGCAAGTATATCTGCAAGGAAGTTCATAAAGCAACTTTCCCAACACTGGAACGATATCCAAAACACCATTCAATATGTAGTCTTTACAGCCTCATCTTCACCTCACAATGCAGCGTAGTCATACTGAAGCCTGCATCACATTCCATTACATTACCTCAGTAACAGCATTCTTTTACTTGGCTACTTGCTCACAATACCAAGATAGACGAATTCTCTTAATTTCCTCAAAAGCCGACTTCATCCTATTCTTAATAGGTAGTGAGACCTACTGGTCCTGAACCATCAAGGTCAATCAAAGCACCAAATTCATGGACTAAAACGGAATGACAATTTGATCTAACATTACCTAATACAGGAGGTTGCACATGCTGATCCCGGCAAGAGCTTCTCTCAGAAAGTCCACTTGGAATTAATGTACCTTGTACTACACCTATTTTTGTTGGAATAACAGAGAAGTCATGCATACAAAGAAATTCAAATATCATCACCTGCTTAAATAAACCCAACGAACTGAAATGAGTTGATAACTTTGGTCATCACACCTTCCTCGCGCCTAGGGTGTGCCCATACAAAATGCGATATACAATGAATTAATACACTTGACTAGATGTCGTGTATGGGGCAAATTTTGTGCAGTTAACTATTAGAAACTTCTCGTCGAAGCTTGAAGATGATTCATATCTTCAAAATTACCCTAAAATTCCAAAAAAGGTGTATTCATCATATTCCACGACTGATCTAACATTGCATGACTATCATCTATTGTATCGTTGGTGGTGGCCCTGTGCTAGGTTGAGGTAACTTGGCATCTGCTAAAGTGCCAGTTAAAGTCCTGCTTAGATCTGCTGGGCACTCGTCATTTTCCACAGCACACATTGAAGAAACTTTAATGACATTGGAATTGCAGAAAAAACATCGTTGATTGTTTAGGAGATGACGAGATATACAACGTTGGCATGACTTGTGTTTGCAGGGCAAGAAAACGGTGTCCACTTCGCAAGCATAGCAAATAGTGCAAGTTTCTTCCCTATCCATAATTGCAAGGTTCCCCAGAGGATCTGCAACAAGGCCAAGTTGATCGGCGATTCAATACTGATGTGTGCACGAGCGCTTACCAGAACTTAAGATGAAGAAATTCCTTCTCTAGTTATCAGGCCACTCATTTTAATCTCAGAAAACTTAAGTAACAGCTTAACTATAAAAAAATATAAACTAAAATAAAATAAAATAAAATAAAGCCTTTGAAATGGAAGGCTTCTATTTTCTACATAGAATATATTGTAGCACCAGGTAAAAAAGCACAAATGGTAGTTTGATTGAGACTTGTGATCTTAACGGAGAAATATAGAGCAGCTCAGGAGAAAATTTTACCTGAAGATGGGTTCGATGAAAGAAAAGAATCGACAGAAGCTTGTCGACGAACTTTCTCTATTTCATCCTTAAGTTTCGATATAAAAAATTTCAAATCTGATATCCTTTTTATTGAAGGATCACCTTTGAATGTCACCTCCTACAGCACAAATTTCTTTTGTGAAAAATCGTCCATTCAACAGATATCACCCAAAGACAACGTTTTAGCATCTTCATTTATATAATCTACCACCACATTCCACACGAATATACATATGTTCTGAACGGAGCTGAGCACAAGCTTCTGCTGTCTACTACAAGGAGATGTTTTCAAGCAGGTGCAGGAGCTCGATGAACATGGCATTAAGCATTACCCAGCTATAGTTCATCAGATACTGGAAATTGCCAATCAGAGCTGTTGAAATGTCTGCAGCAGCAAGGACAGTTGCCATGTCGTGCGCTATAACTGGACTTGGTAATGAGGTAGTACTTCTCAAATTGAGCACAATGCCAACGAGAGGAGCCAAGATCATTGCCCTGTTGACCCTTTCTAAAGATTGCCCTTGCTGCCTGACAGTGCTGAGAGAACAGAAGCAAACCGTTGCAATCTGTTAATAAGAGAATTAAGAAGATAACTAAAAAATTCCCTCCTTTCTCTATTAAACAATGAGAAGAAACATGCCAACTTCTGTTCATTCTAAAAGCTTAAGTTGCAGACCTGTCAAAAAAATGGGCATCTGCACATGATGTAGTGTGGTTGAGAACGAATATAATGAGCTCACAAAGCCGAACGAGATTGATTTCAGGCCCTTGTAAGAAGGCATGCGGCAACTCCTGTGTGAAAAATTCGAGTATCCTTTCTAAATTGCAAGAAAGCTCGAACATTACTATGCATTTCCGTTGCAGCAAATCTGGTACCTGGACATAATGCAGAGAAGGGAAGAAATTATATATAGTGAAACACCAAAATGTAAAATTAGAAAATATACCAACTCAAGTTTAGAAACAATCACATAATACAACTTCGGTATCACCTCTGCCGATCAACATAAAACACGAATTCTGTCAAATATTCATAACAAAAAGAACTAACAATAATTTATCATACATAAAAAGGGTCCAGCCGCCCAAAAAAAGCGTTATGTAATTGGGACAAGTTGTGCATTGAAAGAATGTTTTTCATAAACCCAATCTCAGAAAAAATGGTAGGTACTAGGAAAATGTAGAAAGGTAACACCTGACGTAGGTCGGAGTGTTCTTGCATCTCTTTGATTGCGACAGAAAACTCTGTTATGGTCCAATTCAGTGTGTTGAAGAGGCGGTTAAGAAACGATGCAAAAAGCTTTTCATCGCTCATGCATTTTTCTTTTAGTAAACGCTGCAACCAAGCACCGGTACCTTGAGCTTGGGTGCTAGGTAAGGCTTCGAATTTAGCACCACAGACTAACTTTAACATCGAAAGCAACATATCAAGATCTTTAAACAAATACATATACAAAAAACTACCATCTGTACACTTTTAAGATTCGCTGACACGAATAAATTGAACTAACCTGGAAGTGGGGAGAGAATGGTTTCCCATGTGATAAACATTTTGAAGCTCCAAATCCAGAACCCTTGCAGAGCCGCAACAAGATGTTGGATACAGGAATCCAGAAGCGGTTGTCAAAAGAAGCTAAAAGAGAGCCAACCATGCCTGCACGGGCTGCTTGGCTCCGCTCAAATGCAATGACGTGTTCCTTATGTTGCACCAACACTGAAATTGATTGCAACAAAATATCTCGCACATCTGAATTTGCTATGCGGGCATCACTGAAATGGGTAACCAAAAAAGTCACCTGCAGAGGCAACATCGTAAACAAGCCGTGTTAACTATTAAGAAAACAACAGTGAGAGAAGAAGAAAGTACGTGTAACTCAAGTTACAAAGGAGCAGCTTGATAAGCTTACAAATGAACTCATTCTGAAACAACGAAGGAGCAACAAGATTACCAGAGGCGAAAGGCCTTGTTGTAGGAGAGAAGAAGGCGTCACAAATGGAGGGTCACTCCTTCGCAAAACATGAAAAGAGTCTACCTGATAAAACATCCAGTTGTCATGATCACAAGACAAACACAAATTAAAATTGCATTTGAGAAGATATCACAAGATAAACATAAAAATAGAAATAAAATTAAAATTAAAATCTCGACAACAAGCAGCGCTAATGATGTGCAGGTTTAAAATAGAAAAGACATTAAATGCAGCAACATCATGGCACGCATAAAGAAAGTCGGAAACAAAAATAATATTCAAAGTAGTCACGCACCAAAGTCTCCACATAGAACTCTGGAACGAAGCTAAAAATAGAATCTTTCTTGCTCAGGACCAACAATAGCTGCGCAACCCAGATACATGTAGCATACATTCCCCTGAGCTTCCATCTTGCGAACATTGTCACTCGGTACCTGCACTTCAACAGTCGTGTCAATGCATGGTGTAGATATGCGCATAGCAGAGGAACATGTTTAAACTGATATTATTACTTACTAACATCAGCAGATATGATAACTTATAAGCACCGCAAGTTCGATTAGAACGACCATTGATAGCAGGAGTATCAACATACCACGTGCACTGCCGTACACAATCAATCAAATCTTCTCTATACACTGTTCTGGCTTCCTTCAACCGCTTCAAATATTCACAAGACATCTTTTCTCCACGTATCTGACGATCGGTTTCATCGAGCTGTGCGATAGATTGCATTTGATGCTGCATGAAGAACGAGGCCTAAACACACATATACACACAAGAGTTAAACAATAAAAATTACGTTTATCAAGAATTAAAAATCACATATAAAAGTGTCAATAGGTTCTCACAATCATAGTAGAACAACCGTATTACTAGGGCCCACTCCGAAGGAACTGTGAAATGCTCAAGAGCAGGTAAGGCATGAAAATCAACCTCAGAAAAACACTATCAAAACCACTTCTAACAAAAAAAAGCTTGCCAACAGGCTTTGCTCTCCAACAAAAACCACGAAATTTTAAAAAGTATTTATATGAATGTATATGTGAAAGTGTATATATAAATACGGGAAAACATTGACAAGCCAGATATGATCAAACAAGTAGTATAAGGAACAATTTTGCATACCTGTCTAAAAATTTGAGCAAGCCCGAGGTGGTAGAAGACGAGCATAATATCAAGCAACTCCTCTTCTCTAATAGCCTCAGATAGTTCCTTGACAGATCTAAACCCTGACTTTCTGTAACTGCGAGATGCAGGAGCCCCTCCCGAGCTGATGTACACCCTTCCACTTGAACTTGGCTTATCCTCAACACACTCGTCACAACTCCGGCCACTAGTGTAAGTACTACTGATAGGACTACTGATCCTTTCACCCACTCCAGCTGATGTACTAACAGCAACTATCTTACTAGGAACCCTCACAAGACTCTTGCTAGGGCCCAGCAACTCACTTAAGGCAAGATCTGAACAACAAGCTGGCTTAAGTTTCCCTCCATGTCGTACGATGTCGTCCTCTTCATCCATGCAGCTTTCCTCCCATTCCACTTCCAGAACATCCAACCCCCCAGAAAAGGTTTTCACCAAATGACTGAAGGTTCCCCCTAAACGAGCGAAATCAGAGTCCTTCAAGAAGATGCTCGCGGGAAAAGTACGCTTGCCAACCCTGCAGGATAAATTTAAACCCAGTATCTTTTTAAAACAGTATTGCCACAATAACTATGCATGCTGGTTAAAAGTGATACATCTAAAACAGAAAAGACACATACGTAACACGAGGAGAAAAACAAGTATAACTACGCCCAGCAAAGAGAAGGGTTGAAAGCTGGAAAATGTGCAGTCCAATAACCTATGAAGAAAGCCCTTAGAATTATCATGGTCCTTCATTCCCTCGTTGGTATCACCAATCACCTTGCCTGGTCCGAAGCCCTCAGACAGAAGTCGCAGCAAAACACAGTGTGTCGAAACTAGCACAGAATTATCAGACAGCCCTGCTGGCGCAATACTCCTGTAAGCCCCGCGATTTTTGCATATGAGGTTGCGTAAAAACCTCCGAAAAACCACACCAGGGAGAGGCTGGGCTAACTCTTCAGTCGGAGGCGGTACAAAGTGAAGAAGTCGACCGCAGAGCTCCCATTGCAAATCTTCTATCTACATTTAATCCCTCTTAGTGCGCGTAGAAGAATAAGTAACCATAAATAACAAAACCCAGACGAAAGAAAATACACACTGTCTTCTAAAGGAAGTAATCCATGCACAAAGTTCGAGACCCCAACAGTGATTGAGTCGTGGTATTTCACGTGGATCGCACCAGTCACCATATCACACAGACGATAACCATGCCTAAAGAAGTACAGTGTAAAGATACATAATGAGAGAGATTTGGACTAAAATAGCCCATGCGTGTCTAATCCAAAGACAATTATCAAGAATGATTTGAGCTGCCGAGTCAAGAAGCAGTTACATACAAACTAGACTGAGTAGTTCTCTAGCTTTCACATAGAAACAAGTCGAAAACACAGTCAAAGAATGGAAGCACCTTGACAATTGCTCTAGACAATGCTGTTGCCGCATGCCTCATTTTACCCTCTGAACAGAGGTCCTCTCGAGATCCAGGCCACCATACTATTGGCATCAACCCTTCAAGATCATTCTTGTTTGGACCCTTCCGAGTAAGCAGTCCCTCCAGACATAAATCGAATCCTTCTGACATCCACCATGAGACCATAAAATCGTATCGTTCCAGCAGATGACAAGCTAAGGCCAGGTATGGATAGGGACCCGTGTAAGGATGGTCAGCCAACACAAACGGAGATGTGCGGCAGCCATAGGCAAGAGCTTCCATAATAGTGGAGACAAAAGAGCTACCACAAGCATCCCTTTCTAATCCTGGGAGCAAAAGATCCAGTGCCAGATCAACACTAGGGGCATCATGGGGGGCTTCTGATCTGTAGGTCTCCAGCAGGAACGGAACAAGTGCACCCCAAACTGTATAATCTTCTGGTAGATTTGATTTCTCATCTTTACCGAGACTTGAACTCCGTAGAAGCAGCGGTCTAAGAAAATCGCAGATTTCCGCACCTATTAATAAAACATCATGGTCTGTTAGGGGAGTGTATCTCTTCAGCCTGTCCTCAGGTGCCATGGCTGCCGCAACCTCTCCACTTCCCAATCGCACAAGCCTCTGCAAACAACCAAGCAAAAATTTTGCTCTGTCACACACTGAATTCATCTCATTCTCCATGTCGCCGACTTCAACTGTTGGAGGCAGCTGAATAGGAGAGAATCCCTCAACAGGATACATGAATGGCCTCCCACCAAAATTCAATTCGCAGCGCTCGCCATGTGACAATGAGATTGCTGGGTAGTAACCATCTTTGGGATCAACCGCTCTGATTTTGTCATAAGCTACACCTAAAGAAATACCATTCCTGTAAAAAATTATTTCTTTTTTCTCCAAGTCCAAACAGCAACCAATAACATCCCCTGCTACCCAAGGCTGACCATAAGTTGCATGACATTCATTCCACTTACGGACTCTCTTCCCGTCATACGCATACGAATCTGCTGCATCACCTACGCCTTCCTCGTTCGTGAAAGGACATGAGATGGTAGCCCAGCCAAGTTGCTGAATGCCTGCTGTCCCAAGAGTAGCTTCATACATCCACCGACCCCTCCAAACACATGCATTGGCACGAGCGCTGATAAAAACGGAATGGCTCTCCAATTGCAAAAATCTCTTATCAAACTTGATGTCTCCACAAGCAGAGGCGCTATCCATAGCAACAATACCATTTCCAAAAGGGGAGTCGTTAATGAAAACGCTCTTCTTATGATCACGATCAGACGTGGAATAGTCATCTGCTTGTCGAACGATACTGAGTTGTGAATACAGGTACGATCGCACACTACTTGCATCAATCCTGTCATGATCTAACAAAGAGAGCTCCAACCCAGGTGACACACCAAAAACGTGTGCCAGAGTACGGTCCAGCCCCCATTTGCTACACTCATCATGCATACAAGACGCAACAATAACCCCAGCGTCAATCTCTTTTTCATCCAGGAGGGCAGCCAAACCAGTAGATCTGGTTCGTTGAAACTGGCGCCCTTTCCGCAGACCTCCATCCGCCCACATATTTCGAACCTGCCTGCCTGCACCCTCTACAACCAAGTCTGAGCAAAGGTCACGCCACCTCCCAATGCAGACATTCCACACATCCAATTTCCACTACATATCTGCGGCTGCTCACTTCAGAGCTGTTATTTTCCTCTGCCACTTCATAGAAGCCTACATCCTGCTGTATTCGATGAAACGGAGGACGGCTGTAGTTGTCTCCAAGTCCAATAGAAATCTTACGCATTAAGGTTTCTAATTCAATACCTGCAGACTGACCAAAGACATCCTTCAATATCACAACCCAACGTTTCTGGAAAATGAGGACATGTTGAACTAAAATTTAAAGCCACAAAAGAAATGCTCTCACAATCACACGTCTCCCGACCAGTAGACATCCCAAAAGGAGGAGTTTTGTTCTCGATACAACATGACCTAAGCTTAATTACGATGGGCTGTTCCCATCCGCTTACCTTCCCACACTTTAATCAATACAAGAGCGTAAAACCTAAAACTAATCTCGGCAATCATCACCGTAATTGATCAAGATGAGCAAGCTTGCGCCGTATGCCCCAGGCTGTCTCTACAATTCAATGCCTAGCGGCAAACCCCGTATGAAAATAAAAAGGCGGAAAGAAAAACAAAAACAAAAACAAAAAAACAAATCATGCGATGAGCAGGAGTCACGATTCATAACCCAGTGTCAAAGTAAATCTCCCCGAAAAGGTAAAGATAAACTAATTGGGGGAACTTCTTCTTTGAGGAAGCTTTCTTCAAGGAAGAAGAACGAGGAACGGCAACCAAGTCCCCAAAATTCCACTATCGTTATCCCAGAAAGACATCGTCACATGTGCTCATCCATGCTGCACAGAAACGCTGCCCCCAACAACTCGGAACCGTCACACCACTCCTCTTCTCTCCTTCGCTCTTCCCTCATCTTCATCTGGCCGCCACCTCCCAAAATTTATACAGCAAAAAAAAAACAAAAAAAACAAAACAAAAACAAAAGGGGGGGGGGAGAGAGACAAGACAAGCACAGGCATGCCACAGGGCACCCTACACGCTCACGCTCAACCGAAAAAAAAAAAAAAAAAAAAAAAAAAAAACCTTTTCCACTCGCCACCAGTCTCAAACTCAAATCCCAGCGCTCGCACAAGCCAAAATCAAGCCTCTGGAATCACATCATCATACACAACTAAAAACAAAAAATACAAAAATACAGAAAACAAAACAAAAACACCACTTCTAACTACACGTAAAAATACCACCCTCGTCATCAGTCAAAGCCGAACTATACCCCTGGTCCCAATTCCCCTCCACAACGACCCACCTGAGACGATCACTCCTGGTCCAGTTCTAATGGCAAGATCTCAGCATCAGACAGAGATCACCGGAGCTCCCAACCGAGCAGGCACAAGCAGCAAAGTGGGAGACAGCACTCTGTGAGGCTGTGAAGAAGATGTTGATGAAGAAGAAGAAGAAGAAGAGGCTCCGCAATCCCATCCCCATCACCAACACCACCATCGTCCCTTCTGCTTCCTCCTCCTCCTCCTGCTTCTGCTCCTCTTCCTCAACGGGTCCCTCCTCAAGCAGCACAGCAAAGCAAAGCGGAGCAAAGGCAATGGAATCCACCTTCTTCCTCTTTCCTCCTCCCCCCTTAGCGATGCCTCTTCCCCGACTGGTTCCCCGTTCACACAGGACCCCACTGCAGCCCATAAAGGTTCTCTCTTCACACTGGGCACCACCACCTGCAGCAGCCAACATTTATCTCCGCCCCTCCCTGTTTGCCACATTTGGTGAGCATCCCACCCAATTCGCTGCCCACTTTCCACACAGAATAAATGCGGAATTGGTGCCAGTACAGGCCTAGAATTTATTCCTCCTGCTCTTGATGCCGATCACTTGGGTTGTGGTTTCAAGGGCTGGCTTCGAGAATCAGACTTATATTAGGAAGAAAAGGTTCTAACTTGAATTTCACTGTCACTCTCACACACTCACACATTCTCTCGCTCTCTCTCTTTCGCTTGGTGTATTTCTCTGTTGTTGAAGCATCCACTGTCCCCTCGATTGAGGCTCTCAGGATTTTGTGCAGACTGGTTCCCCTCTTTTCTGGGTTTGCACACTTTTTTGACCTTCGGTACAAGCTCATTTTGTACTCATTCATCTTTGTTGTCCTTTTTCCTGCCCTATCAACCAGTCAACACACGCCCGATGTTGCAGCAGGTTTTGAATTCCAAGGGAAGAATGAGAGAAATCGAACGTGAAAATAATTACACAACTTTGACAAGTATATATGTATCCTTTACGGAAACTCCAAACTTCTTCATAACCGTCATTAGAAAAAATAGTTTGATTTGTATGCTCTGTGCCCTCTTCGAAGGTTAAACCCACTGATTAAGTGAGCTTTTGCATCCATGATTTTTATGAGTGTATCAAGTTGCTGAACTGAGGTGAGAGGGGGTGATTTTTGGGCACCATGGCAATTCTTCAATCACTAATGCAGTGGACCCCATGAACCTCAAAGACATTGAATATACAACAATAACATTAACTCCCAAGCCTCTGGGAATGAATGTGGGGTCCATATTGCTGTTGTAAGAATGAGGAGTTTAGAGCTGCAGTTGAAAGAGAAGCCATTCCTTCACAACTTTTTTTTTTTAACTTGTTAAACTTTTTTTAATAAAATAAAATTTACTTTCTATATGATTTTTTAAAAAGAAAAATTACTAAAAATATTAAATTTTTATTAGAACAAAATAATACTAAATAAATATATTATGTGGATGGCAAATTGTAGTGTTAAAAGCAAAAATTGTGATAGCATTACCAATACCCTAATTTTATTGTTTCATTTAATTATGTAATTCTCTTTAATTTTTTTAATATTTTCTTGCCATCAAGATCCATTTTACTTATGTAAGAAAATACTGTTAAATTTTAATAGTTTTTGTAGTCTTTACTTTTGCTATTGTTCATAAAATTTTATCATTTTTTTATTAATTATGTCCAAATCGATTTTCTCATTTTTGTGAAAATAGATGTTTAAACAAGTGAAGAAGTATGCTACACTAATTATATTATAAGGTTTATAATAGAATTGGTGGAGATTAATCTTCATGTAGAATGGATGCACACTGAATTGAAATCTACAGAATTGTTTTTATACTTCATTAAAATTTGACTAAGATTTTACAAGAATTACTATAGAATAGGTAAATAAACTTTGTGATAAGTTATTGGTTGGTTATTGATAACCTTTAGAATTAGACTGATGGTTAGGCAGTTTAATTGGTAATAGTAGGTTGTTAATGGAATAAATGGTTAAGAATTCAAAGGGTCATAACCTTTGGAATCTGCTGGTCGACGGATCATCTTTTTGGTAGGATAAAGAGGTTGAAGAAAGAGAGATCGGGGCCAGACTGTGAGAGTCATAAGCCAAGGGGCCAGACTATGAGAGTCGTAAGCCGAGAGCCAGACTATGAGAATTGTAAGCCGAGAGTCAAACTGTGGGAGTCGTAAGTTGAGAGCGAGACTGTGAGAGTCGTAAGCCGAGATATTGAATTTTGTGTGATGAATTGAGAAACTGAATACAATAGATAAGTTAGAGATCAGTAATTGAATATATATAAACTGCAAAGAGAGTAAGTGGGAGATGAATAGATAAGAATATGGAAGTATTGTTGAATTGATAGTCATAGAATGGATTATGTGTTGAATTAAGACGAAAGTAGTAAGTCTTGGTATTTTGTAGTTGATAACTGATTTCAGATAGCCAGAGTACAGTCAATTGTGACACTAACAGATCCAATTTATATAACCAGTCTTTCCTCGTGTTTGAATCTACCTCTATTAGTTCAATTGCTTTGGTATATTGAAGCTTGAACACAACGAGAACAACATTTTGGTGTCGCTACGAAGGAAATGATAACAATATGAAATGTTAGAAATTGATTGTATGGGAGATGAAATTATATGTTAAATGAGAATATGAGAAGAACCAGTTTTAGAGTTATAAATATGTGAGTTATAATTCAAGGTAATATTGATTTTGTAAAGAAGAATGAAAGATTATGAGTGATAATCATGAAGAAGAAGATTATCAAAGAATTAATTAACAAGTGAAAGAAAGATAGGAGCAATTACGCATAAGAAATATCCTACGGGAATGACAAAAAGAAATTGTAGGTCCAAATAAAATCAAAAAAAATAAAATTCAAATTCAAATAGCAAAGAGACCAATGATAACACCAATGGCCATGGGAGTGCCAGAAGTACCAATTGTAGTATAAATGGAAACAATAGGAGACCGAACTACAAGTGTGGCACCATTACCTACTTTTAGTGGTTGGCCGGGCTTTGATTCTGATCACCATATATCTCAATTCTTGACAGTAGGCGTGGCTAATAATGATAGAACTGAAGACATTTGATTGAGATGGTTGCTAGCAACTTTAAAAGATATAGCTTTTGAATAGTATATTTGGCAACCATTGGATAGATTTCTCAATTGGGAGGCCTTGAGAAATCCCTTCCTATCCCATTTTAGACCAATTGAATTTAAAGATTGGCTAAGAGAAAGTTTTATGAATGACAAGATGTTTGCGGGGGAATCAATAGAGTCCTATTATGGTCAGATGGCGATGTCGTAATACATGAAGTCTGGCTTGAAAATGCTCCGCGTACCTAGTTGTGGAAGGAATAATGGAAATTATAATAACAAAATTCTAATTCTAATAGAATACTAACAATACTCTAATTAGACTATAATAATGTTAAGCAAGCTTAATAAAATTCAAAAAAACCTCAAAGAAATTTCAAACAAACAATAGGAATTTTTAAAGAAACATTAGAAAGAACACAAATGTCATTCAAATACATCTCAATTCAATCTTAATTTAATTTTAGTTAAAATCCTATTGAACTTCATTCAAATTTTAAGCCAAACTAATTGAATTTTAAATCCTAATAAAATCCTAAACCCTAAATCAAATCCTAATCAAATTCTAAATCCTAAATCAAATCCTAACCAAACCCTAAATCAAATTCTAATCCAAATCCTAAATCCTAAATCAAATCCTAAATCAAATCCTAATCCAAATCCTAAACCCTAAACCAAACCCTAAACCAAATCCTAAATCCTAAACCAAATCTTAATCCAAATCCTAAATCCTAAACCAAATCCTAAACCAAATCTTAAGCCAAACTCTAATCCAAATCTTAAACCAAATCCTAATCAAATCCTAAATCCTAAACCAAACCCTAACCAAATCCTAAATCCTAAACCCTAAATCAAACCCTAATCCAAATCCTAAACCCCAAACCAAATCCTAACAAAATCCTAAACCAAATCTTAACCAAATCCTAAACCAAATCCTAATAATTCCTACAATAGATTTAAACCTCAATAATTAATGAATAAACCGTTGATCTTAACTCAAATTTTGCACAGTTCTATAAAAATAAGTTAAAAACAAGCACAAAAAAAGTTGATAAGGATCGAAATTACCAAATTGACGATATCTTCAAAAATGTGCTTGGGTATTGGCCGGCCTCCTTCTCCAATCTTGATGCCAATCTTCCAGAACCAATACCTCTCCTTTGCACCGTTCGATTGATCTCAAAATTCTCATACACATAGAAAAACAAGTCTAATATCCTTTCACACAAGTTTCACTCCAATCCAATCAATAGATTGTAAGAAATCTTAAAAATCCTCACTAGACCTCCTTTGCATCGTTCGATTGATCTCAAAATTCTCATACACATAGAAAAACAAGTCTAATATCCTTTCACACAAGTTTCACTCCAATCCAATCAATAGATTGTAAGAAATCTTAAAAATCCTCACTAGACCTAAAATTCTACTTTCTGAGACCTTGACCCACTTAAACCTTAATATCCTTCAATTCAACCGTTAGATCAAGCTCAAATTTACAACACATATTTAACACAACTATAAACATAAACCCACAAAATTTCACCCGTAGATCTCTAATAAAACTCTTGAAATCATCCAAAAAGTAAACCCTATTTTATTTCATAAAACCCAAGTCATCCAAAACAAATCTTGACTTTGCAAAGCTATTACAAAGTCAATACAGATCCAAATCACCCAAAACCAACACCTATAGAAACCCTATTCAATCTTCTATCAAACCCCTTTCTCCGATCTGTCAAAGAGTCTTTGAATCACCGTCAGAGCGTGGTTTTGTGCCTTGGGATCTGATTTCGACCCAGGTTCATAACCGGTCCTCTTCGGGTATCAACTTTCGTCTTCTTGAGGTAATTTTTACTAATTTGCACTCCTAGCTCCTCCCTACATATGCCTATATCCTTTATTTTTTTAATCTACCTTATAAAGTAAATAGAAGCATAATTTGCAAATAGGCAACATTAGCACCTTTAATTTTTCTACTCTTTGACTAATATCTATTTTTCCAAGATACTTTGATATAATATTTTTGAAGTGAGATCCTCAAAATATGATATTTTCTTCACCCTTTCACTTATTATCTATGTTACATCATGACAGTAGATATACTTCATAAATGGTCAAATAATCAAATGCCAAATGCATTTATATTGTCGATATTAATTAACGGTTTGCATCCACTAGAATTGAAAATGTTTGTAAAAGAGGCTCGAC